TACAGCTTTCAAGTTCAAGTTTATAATTTTAGCCTCAAAATGAAATCTACTTAAGACTCCCCTCTCCATATTTATTACTTACACCCCATAGCCCTTTAATTCTCTAACACATAAAATGCTCTTAGGCCTTTTTCTTATTCACAAGTGTTAATTCCTGTTTTGTTCTTTATCTAGGCTTCCATATGTCATTTTAGTATCTCTCCATTTTCAGTGTCCTTCACAGCAGCCTGTGAACCCCCTAGACAACATGATCATGCCCCTTTAACTTGTATGGTACCTAGTGCTGAGCCATATGCACACTGTACTGCATAATAGCCTTTTAATAACAAATTAGATTTTTATTTCGGTTCATTATGCCTGGGTTTTCAGGCAATGTTCTGGATTTCATGGTTTTGTTTGTAATGAGCCATGGCGCCATTGACAAACAAGGAGTAATTAAACTAACCAGGTTATCAATAGAAGCTTGTGATGGATCTCCTGTTGCATATGTTATTTCATCTTCAATAATAGTTGGATATCATAAAAGATTATGGCCTCTTAGTGTGACAGACAGAGAGAAAGAGATGAAAGCCTGGGAGAACAAGAGTAAAAATATAATCTTACTTATACTTCTCACAAGCAAAAGAGTATCATAGTAATTGACAATAAGAGGGTTTTCATTTATAAATATCTTTTGTAATTTTATTGCCTTATAAGGGGGGGATGTGAATCTTTGCTTAAAAAAGAAAGTTAAAATTTATCAAATTTTTCCTTATATTGAGTTAGAGATATGCATGTGTTTGTATTTGTGTATTTATAAATGTGTGTATGTGTATTATCTCATAACATTTTCTTATTCAAACTTCTCTGGTAATCATTTTTTATTATTTTTCACCAAGTTATTAGCAAGCATTTTTATAAAAATATTTATTTGCAAGTTTTTTTTCCAATTGAACCTTTACTATTAAGAATAAGAATCTCACAGAGAAATAGAGGTGCTATAATTTCAAAGTGAAGTATCACCCTTAACAGAAAATGATTACTCTGCTCAGGTATTTTTAAAATGAAAGGCAATATTCTGTTGTAAGAGTGTTTACAGTTTTCACTTTCACTGCATATTGAAAATTCATTAAACTCTGTACTTTTTTTATTGCTTTCTAAAAAAACTTAAAATAAATCCAAAGTGCACACTTACTCAGATCTTTTGTCTGAATGAATTAGTATTTGCACCTTCTAGGTTCCTGTTATATTGAACTGTTTCCCATAGTGTTATTTGAAATATGTACTATGTTAAATGTAAATTGGTAGGAAAGAAAATATTTATGGAAAATGACATGCATATAAAACTAGAAGATAGCATAGGAGAAAATCTAGATGACATTGGGATTGGTGATGACTTTTTAGATACAATACCAAAAGCACAATTCATGGAAGAGATAGTTGATAAGTTGGACCTCATTAAAATGAGAAGTTTTGACTCTGTGAAACACAATATCAAGAAAATAAAAAGACAAGCCACAGACTGAGAGAAAATATTTGCAAAATACACATCTGATAAAGGACTGTTATCTAAAATCTACAAAGAACCCTTAAAACACAATAAAAATAATACAAACAACCCAATTAAAAATGGACCAAAGACCTCACCAAAGATATACAGATGGTAAATAAGCATATGAAAAGACACTTCACATCATATCATCAGTGAAATGCAAATTAAAACAATGAGATACCACTATATACCTATCAGAATGACCAAAATCTGGAGCACTGACAACTCCAAATGCTAGTGAGGACATGGAGCAACAGGAACTCCCATACGTTGCTGGTGGGAAGATAGTTTGTCAGTTTCTTACAAAACTAAACATACTCTTACCATACAATCCAGCAATTGCACTTCTTGGTATTTACCCAAAATAGTTGAAAACTTAGTTCCACACAAAAAATAGATGTTTAGAGTGGCTTTACATATGATTGCCAATGCTTGGAAGCAACTAAGAAGTTCTTCCGCAGGTGGATGGATAAACTGTGGTACATACAGACAATGGAATATTACTCAGGGTTAAAAAGAAATGAGTTATCAAGCCATGGAAAGACGTAGAGGAACCTTAAATGCATATTACTAAGTGAAGAAGCCAAGCTGAAAAGGCTACATGCTATATGACCCCAACTATTTAACATTCTGGAAAAAGCAAAACTATGGAGAAAATTTAAAAATCAGTGGTTGATGAGGGTGGTGAGGTAGTAAAAAATGAATAGGCAGATATAGGAAAATTTAGGAATAAGAGGGTTTTAAGGGCAGTGAAAATACTTCGTACGGTATAGTGATGATGGATATGTGTCATTATGCTTTTGTCCAAACCCATAGAATGTACAGCAGCAAGAGTGAACCCTAATGTAAACTATGACTTTAAGTCATAATAATGTGTCAGTGCAGGTTCACCACTTGCAACAAATGTACCACTCTGGTAGGAGATATTGACAATGGAGAGGCTCTCCATGTGTTAGGGAAAGGAGTATATGGGAAATCTTTGCATCTTCCACTCAATTTTGTGTGAACTTAAAACTGCTCTAAAAATAGTCTATTAAAAAAAAATGACACATGCATACAACTCCTAATGTTTCCCTCCAAAACTCATCTACCTCCAGTCTAACCCATCTCAATCAACTGGTATTTCTAACTTTCTATTTAAGTCAAGTGAAATCACCCTCGTTTTTTATAAAAAGTCTGTCCAGAAATCATGTTGGCTCCAACTTCACAATAGACCCCAAAGCTGGTCACTTTCCACTGCCTCAGGTGCTACCACCCAGGTATGAGCTCCCAACATCACTTGTCTTCTTACTGCAACAGCTTTCATCCTGGCCTCGCAGTGGTCGCTTCTCAACACGGCAGCCTGAGTGATGTGATACTTTTAAAACAAAAGTCAGATTATATCCCTCCTCTGCAGTGGTTCAACATTTCACTCAGAGTAGAAGCCAAGTCCTTAAAATGGCCCTCAAGGTCCTATCTGATCTTTCCTCCTTTGGCTCCATATATTATTCAGGGTTCTGCAGACAAACAAAACCCATAATATATGTGTGTATCTATATACACACACATACCTATACACACATATACATACATACATATGTGATATATATATATGATGTACATATAGAGAGAGAGACAGAGACAGAGAGAGATTATATTATGAGGAAATGGTTCACTTCTTAGCTGGCTGAGAAGTCCCACAAACTACTGTCTGCAAGCTAGAGACCCAGGAAAGTCAGTGGTGTAGTTCGGTCCAAGTCCAAAAGCCTGAGAACCAGGGGAGCCAGTTGTGTAAATCTCAGTTTGAGAGCAGAAGACTGATACCTTAGCTCAAGCAGTCAGGTAGAGAAGGGACAGTCTCCTTTCCTCTGCCTTTTCTATTCAGGCCTTCAATTGACTGTATGATGTGCACCCAACATGGGAAGGGCAGTATGCTGCTGAATTCACTGATTCAAATTCTAATCACATTAGAAATACCCTCACAGTCACACCCAAATATCTGGATGCTCTATGACCCAATCAAGTTGATGCAAAATGAACCATCACACTCTGTCTCCTGCTACTGCCCCTTCTTTCTCTTTGCTTCAGTCACACTGATTTCCTTGCTGTTTCTCAACTGAACCAGGCTTGCTTCAGCCTCAGAGCCTTACTGCAAGTTGTTCCCTCTACCAGTAAGGCTCTTTCTCCAGATACTCACATAGCAAACTCGCTCATCTACATCATCTTTGCTTAAATCTTTCCTTGTCAATGAGTCCTACTCAGATTAGCTTTTATAAAATTGCAACCCATTCCTTGCTCTAATTCCTCTTACCTTGCTCTAATGCTTTTTTTTCGATATTTCTTCTAACATTTTATTTAAATTATTTATTTTATTTACTGCTGATTCTCTGTCTCCCCATCCACCCCCACCTCCACCCCCAACCCCCACCCCACCCCTGTCTAGAATATAAGCTTTATCATGTCAGGGAGTTTAACTGCTTGTGCCTTGAGAAAGGCCTGGTATGTATCAATGGCTCAATAACTCTTTGATCAATAAAAGAAATGGCTATGCTATGTATAATATATATATTATATATATATAATATATAATGAAGCTTTTTAAGCATCATTTTGTGCCAGACACTGTGCTTTGACCTCTGAATATGCAGAGATGAATCAGATATTTACCCTGCCTTTAGGCAGCGACAAAGACGCCTGGCATACCCATAAATAATTACAATACAAGATAGAAAGTGTGTTGTATGAGAGATTTAGATAAACTACTCAAAGGGGAAAGGTATTTCCAGCCAGAGCAACAGGGAAGAGTATAGATATGGTGACCCCTAAATTTGGGTCTTGGATCTGTAGAAATGGTGAAGAATAGCATTCTAGGTAGAAGGAACCACATTTTAAAAAATCACTAATGTGCTAAAGCATAGGGAGTAGGGAAAACCACAGAATATGGAAAGAACTCAGACTTTGAGTCAACATGTCTGACGTCAAATCCAAACTCTGAAGCTAAGTAGCTGTGTGACCTTAGACAAATTATTTAACCTCTCTGAGTTTCAGTTCTCACATCTGTAAAATTGGGATAATGCCATCTCGCCTAGAGTATTCTGTGAGGAAATCATGAACATAAAGCACCAAACCCCCTGACTTGCTCCCAGCCATCACTCAGTGAATAAGAGCTATTATTGGAGTGTAGTTTGACTGGAGTACAGATGAAATGTTCCGCTCAACAATGCCATTTTCCAATAGGAAGCAAGGCCAAAATGTATTGCATTTACTCTGCACTCCCTGGGAACATTCATCTGTTGTCCAACTTGAAAAATGAAGCTGAAAATGACTAGTTTCGTAAGAGAAGCAAAAAACACTGAAAATGTGATGCATTGGCCTATCAGACATAAGATTACTTTGAATATAGAAGGAATAAAAATATGTGTGCTCTATATTTTGGTTGAAGATTATTTAACTTACCCGCAGTTTCTTTCTTTCTTTGTTTCTATTTCAGTTGCTCCTACGATTCAGGAAATTAAATCTGGCACTGTGGCCCCGGGACGCAGTGGATTGATAAGATGCGAAGGTGCGGGTGTGCCGCCTCCGGCCTTTGAATGGTACAAAGGAGAGAAGAAGTAAGGACCTTGTGATTATTACTCTGTTTCAAGCACTTTGAGCTAATGTGTTTGTGTTTCAGATATTTACTTTAAGCAGTTTCTTTAACTGGCTTGAATGATTCTCAGCAGCCTTTTCTCGGGCAGGCAAACTGAAGAGGCCCACGTGGTGGGGATGAGTGGCTAACAGCATCCAGAAGAAATGTCCACTTTGGTTTATATGATCTCAGAAATGCCTTCAAATCCCCCATCACTGGTACATTTCATTTCTTTCCCTCCCTTCTGAGCCAGCACACCATTGCTCTTGCCGGCAACCATGTTTACTTGGGAAATAAACCAGCTCTTAAAGGACTTGGGCACAGTTTCCATGAGAGCACTCCAAAAGCAGTCAGAGCTGCGGACTCCGCCTGGCTTCCTTGAAAATCCTCAACCCTTTCACCTGCTTCCCTCTCCCACAAGTCATTTTAACATTTTGTTTCATAGAATGTGGCATTTAAGTATTCTATCACTAAAGGGACTGTAGAGGGATAAAATACATGGTTGAATGACTAACCAAGGGGATTTGAGGACTACTCTAACTTCAGAGGAGCTTGGGGAGCTTCAGAAAGCCTTAGCAAGAGCTGTTGAACAAGAGAAGACAGAACTTGATGACTTCCTCTTTACTTTCAACCAGTGGGCTCAGTCAGATCTCTTTACCTGCTCTTATCAAGCCATCAAAGAAGAATAGGCCCCCCTGGGTAAAATGGCAGATGTAATGCAGAGGGGAGGGTATTATCTATAATATATATTTTTTTGCTTCAAAACTAGGGAAGGGATGTATTCAAGAAAATGTTAGTTTGGACCATATGAACTTTCCATTTTTCACTCAAAAAGGCTAAATGTTGGCAATCTCATACTATTCAACATATACGTATGGGGTTTATTTATTAGTGTCATGGCTCATAACTAATTACAGCTAAACGTCTGAACAGAAAACAGGTGAAATCACATAAGAACTTAGATGTTGCCACAATGGATGAGTATGGATGTGACATAAGCAGGTATTTTGTTTCTTAAACTGTTATCAAAAGAGGATTTATGGAAGATATTCTCTTTCAACATCAGGCTTAACAATAAAAGATATCCCCATAGCTATCTCATTTGTTTTGGATAACTGACAGTGGTTTTACCTAAAAATTTTCATAGTTGTTTTTTATGCAACCTCTTCTACAATTTGGGCTGCTCAATTACTACTTCTTTTTACTAATTAATTAATGCTTTTACTAATTCTAAATCTTTGTATCTTCCTGGAAGCCCCTATATTTTTATATACCTAGAATTAGATAAACTGGTCTGTGGTCACCCTTGTCCCATGTTACAGGATTACATATCTGGCAATATAACCTTCCTCAGATTCTGATAATCCAGGCTGGGAAGTCTTCAGTTTGTGAAGATCTTTAGAGATAAACATCTGGGAGAGTGGTTCTCAATTCTTTGAAAATTATGAAACACTTTGTTCAAATGCAATCTTTTTGGAAGCCCAATATGTAACATCTGTGAAAGTAAGGGTGAATGGAGCCTCAGTTCCATCTGCTCTGAGCCTGCCCTTCCATTAGGATGTCCTTGCAGCCCCTCGTCCCCATCTCTGGTTCTCCGCAAAGCACAGTCTTAAAAATTGACTTAAATTATTTTACGTATCTTTCAAAGTCACTTTTGAAACTGTGTCATACCTTTCTTAAAGGCTAACAAGCAGAATTATTGTTAGCAGCACAAGTGAGAACTCCTTTGCTAAAGTCCATTTTGTTTCTAATAATTTTTTTTGCTATACCTTTCCCTTCCCCTTTCCTAAATTCAGTGGCTATTGTCAAAACAGGCTACAACAATCCTCAGCCTACTTTCTTGGCCTATAGCAAAGGTAGCAAAGAGCCAATTGGTGTCCACAGTCATAGCTTCAGTGATTTTTGTTTTTCCAAGTGGGGAGATGGACTATAGCTTTTATTAGATTTTCAAAGGAGTTTAGAATCACTGCTAAAAAAGGTAGATAGATTGCCCCCAGTCAGTGCCCCTCCCCAATACACTCACACATGAGAAAATCTAGCCTCTATGAAAATCAAATGCACTTATCAAAGGCAAACATATTTTCGCTTCAGAATGAAGTATACATTTATCATTTGTTAGAGTTATATTTGAGGAAATATTCAAATTCTCAAATACCACTAGAATATATAAATTCCTCTTAAAATTATAGAAAAGCAAGTTTGAGTATATGCAGGGAGTAAGAGAGAGAAAAATTCTGCTTGCTGAATGATTGTTGTTGCACTCACTAAGAGCATCTACCGTGCTATCTAAAGGGCCCAGGCCATTTAAAATATTTATTTCATCAAAATGAAAAACTATGTGTGATTGGGAGTCCGCCTGCCGATGCAGGGGACACGGGTTTGTGCCCCAGTCTGGGAAGATCCCACATGCCATGGAGCGGCTGGGCCCGTGAGCCATGGCCACTGAGCCTGCACGTCCAGAGCCTGTGCTCCTTAACGGGAGAGGCCACAACAGTGAGAGGCCCACGTACCACAAAAAAAAAAAAAAAAAAGCAAAGAAAAACTATGTAATGAGCACCTGATATTTAACATTAACCCATTTTATTTTCACAACAAACCTATAAGATAGATACTACTCACCTTTTGCTGAAGAGAAACAAAAGCACAGTGTTTTTAAGTAATTTGCACAAGTCTATAGTTAGTGACAGAGCTGGGATTTGAGCCCAGGAAGTCTTGCAAATATTCATGCAGAGTCTGTGGATTTAACCCTTATACTATGACACCCAGTATTGTTCATGGGACCTCAGAGTCTATCAAAAATAATTTGAAATATCAATGTTAAATGCCAGGGTAAAGGCATTGGAGGTAATTTACAAGTTAGCAAAATAAAAGACTGCACGTACGAACACTCACTTATACTTTCCCAATTGGTTTCATCAAAGACACAGAAATAATGGAGTCAAGGTAACCAGACAGAAAAGAAACAGATACACCACGTTTTCAAGTTGTTTTCTTGACCTCAAGGTCATTACCAGGAGCATGAGGCTGACAGAGACTGTCGGAGCAGAGCATAGTTTTTACTAGATCTTGAGTTTTATTTCCTAGAGATCTTTTATACTTAAGGTTTACAAAAAACATTCAGAAATAACTTACTCTCTTCACTTATACTTAAGGGGATGTTTATAAAAACTCATCTCGCTTAAATCAAGATCTTCAAAGCCAGATCTTCATTCAAATAAATATAAACAAATAAACACAAACAAATAAACAAGAGGAAGTACCTGATCATCTCTAATCTTATCTCTGCGTATAGTTCTTCCACATCCTGTAAAATCTGTTTCTGTGTGCTGGGAATAATATGCTTGAAAGCCTTTAAAAAAAACCCTGCAAAATGAAGCACAATTTAAAGAAAAGAAAGAAACGTTACTGAGGATAAATCACTTTCCAGGACCTTTAAATTCTCTCTCATTTATTCTTCAGACCTCTGTGAGGTATGATTTATTATCCTCAATTTACTGATGGCAAAACGGAAACATAAGAGACTTAACCTGTCTAAGAGCACTCACTTAAAAGATGCTGTCGGGACACATTTTAGATTTGTCAACCTCTCAGCCCATGTTCTTTCCCTCGTATACACTGTCATTATTAGTTATCTATTGCGAAGTACAAATCAACCCAAAATTTAGCAGCTTAAAACAGTAAGCTTTTGTTATCTCAGTGTCCGTGGGTCAGGAATCCAGGAGCAGTTAGCGGGATATGGCTCAGGGTCTTTGACTTAGTTCCTGTCAAATGTCACCTGGTGCTGATCCTCCGAAGGCTTGACTAGGGCAGGAGGATCAGCTTCTGAGGTAGCTCGCTCACATGTCCTACAAGTTGGTGCCTGTTATTGACTGAAGGCCTCTGTTAATCACCATACAGACCTATAAATAGGGCTGCTAGACTCTTCATGGCAACACAGTTGACTTTCCCCAGAACTAGTGATTCAAGAGAAACCATAGAAGCTGTTCATGATCTAGTCTCAGAAATCTCTATCTTTTCTGCAATATATTATTGGTTATAAAAGGTGACTCTATTCAAAAAGGGAGAGGTAATAGGGGAACATAAATATCAAGAGGTGAGAATCATCAGATGCCATCTTCAAAGATGGCTGTTACATTGTCTCCCTCATGGATGATGTAATTGTATATATATTAGAAATATTAGCTATTTGACTTTTAGTCTATTGCACTGTTTGGGTAAGCATCATGAGAAAGACTAAAGTTATATACTTGTTATTAAGATATCCCTTTGTATAAAATGGTCATTTTTTAACACTATAGTCTCTTTCAGCATACCTGGCAGGGACAATTCTAATAGGCTAAATTTTACTCTCTATATAAAAACATTTTAAGTATTGGGAAAACTAAAGTTCAGAGTTCAATTACACATAGAACCAAAATTTTAAACTTTTTTTCTTAATAACAGAGAAGATTGATAAGAAGAAATACACTCCTTATATGCAGTGAAAGGACACTTCAGAATACACTAAGTAAATAATGTTTTTGATAACATGAAATAAGTTCATCTATAGCTTGAGAACAGTACATTCACTTAGGATTAAGACCAAAAACATAAACTAAATTTTAATGGACTAACATTTAAATTGGTATTGAAAAAACATAGGTTTTATATCACTTTGTGGAGATGGTATTACCATCTTGTCTTAGATCAGAATTTTATTATTTGCTTACTTCATTGAATTCCCTCCTATTTTTTTTAGCTTTCCTCAAATCCAAGTCTGCAACCTAGAAAGACATGCCTTCTTATTTTTTATGATGAGTTTAACTGCTCCAGTCTTATAAAATACTACATACTTCATTCACTTTGCCTATTTTTAGGCAAATGGACAATTGTAGCAATGTCTTTTTAGAATTCTTTAATCACAACAGGGTTTCTTTCTTAATTCTCTGTTATGATTTAAGATAGGGATACAAATGTTACAAATAGGTAAATACAAATTTCATC